ATACTGGTGTTGTTCTTTATGTTTTTCTTTTCTGCGAGTTCGTTTTCTGGGGTGATTCTTGGTAGCTCTATACCTAGAATCGTAACAGGCATTAATTGACTTGAAGAAAAAATTAGTAGAGAGCGACATTTTCTTCTTAACCTTCTTGTGTTGAAGGATGCCATTGCCCATTCCACGTTTAGGAAAATAATGGCCCATATATTGACCCCTTGTTTCAAATCATTTTGAGGTTGAAGACTTAGGAACTCGAAGTATTTGAAGCATTAATTTATCCATCCAGAGCGCAGAGTCATGTTGGGACATGATTGGTATAGCTATAAAACGACAAAACGCACTTAGAGTGAAATATGGAGGTGGTGGTGGTAGGGGACGGCTTTGCTATCAAGTAAGAAAGGTATAAGGTGCCATGTTCCATCAAACCAAGTCATGCAAGCTGTCTTGGTTTTGTCTAGTATTATTATTTATATATAATACAAAACTATTGTAGTGTATTTGCCATATATGTGCATGCGTAGAATTAATAAGCATCTAAGACATGCCCAAATCGAGTAAACAGTGTCCGTACAACCCCCTCCCCCCTAAAGGTAACGCAGAAAATGCAAATTAGCAGCAATCAAAGAGTTACAAATAAAAAAGAACATGAAGAGGATTCGGGGTCTTGAGACCCAATCAACAGGGCCAACTTAATCCTTGCGAGTTGATTCGGCAATACAATGAATGGTAGGCCTCACAAGTCACATGTACCACGAAACATCCAAGATAATTTGCTGACTTAGAAAATCAAAAGTGGGCGACAAATGTCTAGCATTTCAAGCCAAAACTTGAAGGCACTAACTTTTTTTTAATCTCTCTCCTCACTTTGTTTTTTTCTTTTCTTAATATAGAACATTTTTTATCCACATATATTTTTTAAGAACCTCACTGGAATTCTTAACATCATGGTTGAGCCTTGAGATATGATCGAAAACTAATAATCGCACTATATGTGATTCAAAGTTTATAGATATAATTTATGTGTTATTTGTTAGAAAAGCAATATTAAAAATCAACAATGAAAGGATAAATGTGTTTAGGAAATTGTTTTAATAATCCAAAAAACATGAAATGCCCGCAAGAAAGTAAAATATGCAATAATACAAAGTTAAAACATGTCATGCAAAAATATATGAATGCAAGAAGAAAAAGAAATCCTAACCCAACGTTTGTCACTGTGTCTTTGAGATAATTTGTCTTCTCAATGGTGTAGAATATTTGTAAACAATTGTTTTTCAGGATAAAAGATAGAGTAATGTAACCATCATGTTAGAGGACAAGAAACTAATTTCATGCACACACTTCAATTATCGAGCTTATCTTTTTTTCTTTTTTCTTTATAAATTTGTGGGCCCCATAAAATTTGTATCTACAGGAACCAATTTTTTCTTTCTAGCAACATGACAAAAGTAACTCCCTAAAACATATTACCTTTGTTTGTTAACTGCACTTTTAAACAAATAGCGCCAACCAACGAACCTTCTTTTGAATTATCGCATAGAATGAATAGAGAGATTTCCAAAAATGTTTTATTATGATTTCCAGTAAAGGAGAGAAATCAGAAAAGTAAACGATTTATTATGATTTCCTTCTATATTTATAAAGCATGACTAACCACGATAAATATTGCTTGTTCGGCGATGACGAGTTTTGTCAATTTGGAGATGAATATTTATGTCTGTTTGATGGTAAATAATTATGTCTGTTCGGTCTGTGAAAAGACACTTATTTTCACACTCAATTTCTTATTCATAACACTTGAATAAGAAGTCAAATCATAATGAGCAAATGATATAATGATTTGTGCAATGTGTGATAGCTTATAACAATTGCTCAATATAGATAGTTTTTACACTTTGAACTTTCCTTGTGTGACTAACCCAATTTACCCGATCAATCAGTGGACGCGTTGCCTTAAATGTTGACCCTTGGATGTAAACCTAGATAATAGGAAGAACTAAATCGTTCCTCAAACAAAGTTGATCCTAATTGGTATGTCCGTTGTGACCCTTGACATCTTCTGATTCTGCAAATGTGTTAAAGAATATGACCATGATATCCAACCTGCATAACTGTTAATCATTTAGTATTGAACCAAGTATTGGGCCAAAAGCGACTCCAATGTAAAACAGGTTGAAGTTTAATTTTTGGGTATATTAATTTTTACATGTATCCAATCATAAGACTTCATGTGAAAACAAAATGATAAGGAAAACTTCAAAAAAAATGAAATGAGAATTAAGTAATTTTTTTGAATATAATATAAATAAAAGGAATGGAACTAAATGTATCCAATCATAAGACTTCCTGTGAAAACAAAATAATAAGGAAAACTTTAAAAAAAATGAAATGAGAATTAAGTAATTTTTTTGAATATAATATAAATAAAAGGAATGGAACTAAATAAAATTATAAAAATAATGCTTTTTTATAACCTGCACCTCTAATGAAATTAATCACATTTTATTAAAAATAATGGTATAATTTAAAATAGAGTTTTATAGCTCTCCTGTCATTGCAAAAAAAAAAAAAAAAATCTACAATAACACTAAGATACGGTTCCGTATCCTGATATGTTTTTTTTTTTTTAAAAAGACAAGTAGGACCCACTTGTTTGTGTCTGCTGTACCCAATAAAATTTTGCAACGACAGCAGGCATAGAAAGTCCTTTAAAATATGAGAGAGAATATTCTTACTACCAAATTTTTTTACTACTAACTTACTACCTATCTAATCACCATTGAATCAAAGAGAGAGAATGCTAAAAAGTTTTTGAAAAAAGAGAAAATGTTGATCCAATGATTAGATAAGTAATGAGTTGATAGTAGAAAATTTTGGTAATAAGAATATCTCTCCTCTTAAAATATAACACAAACTTTTTTCCTAATGATTAACTTTTGGTTCATTTCAAAGACATTGACTTTGGTGGAATTAAGGTTAAACGTCATTATTTCCTCCTATATTCACCGTAATTTTTAAATAAGATATTATGATTTTTTTTATTTATCTAGGATATCCTCACTCTTGCGGTGTAAAGTGTGAAAATTTTTGTCACATACCCCAAATTGCTTCACCTGAGAATCGAATCAGAGATCTTTTAGTCCCAAGAATTTGTTCTTTGGGCCCAATTCGTTTAACAATTGTGCCACCCCTTGAGATTTTAACTGCAGTACTAGTCACAATTATGGGTTAACGGTTAACTATTATATACATGTTTAGAAGTAGTTGAAAACCTACAACTATGAGTGACTATAAAATACTTTGGTTGCGGTTTCAGTTAACCATGGCTATGCCTAAATGTTATATTAGCTATAATATATGTATCGTTTTAATGTTTTTACAGAGTACATTCATCCCAAAAACGATGTCGTTTTGGGTTGAAAAATATAAAAAGTTATAATAAAAAAGACTATTATAACCCTGAAATAAATTATAATTATAAAAATACCTTGATTTCAGTCACAAAACGATGTCATTTTGGATTCAGTGTAGATAACTTATCTATATTAACTGTAGAAAAGACGAATCCATATATGTATATAGAGGTGATTTTTGGGTTTTAGTTGAGGGATTAACGTTTCTAATGCATCAAGAGATAAAATTATCTTTTGAAACTCCAAAACAATGTCATTTTGTGATTTGAAAAAAGAACTAGATATTTTTTGATATTTTACTTTGGAGTTGCTGAGATGCTATTGCAGGGAGAAATATTTTTTCAAATATTATTGCTTTAATTAAAAGGGAAGGATATTGTAACAACTAAGTTGTGTTACAACTATGTTACTACCAATCAATCTCGCTGTTAGATTGATTATGTTAATCCAACGGTTATATTTATTTCCATCTTTGTATGATTATGATTCCCCATATTTAAAGTGAAAGCATTAAATATGAGAAATCATAACCATACAAAGGTGCAAATAAATATAAAGTATTAAATTTGAGAAATCATAACCATACAAAGATGAAAATAAATATAACCATTGGGTCAACATAATCGATCTAACGGTGAGATTGATTGGTAGTAACATGATAGTAACACAACTTGGTTGTTACAATATCCTTTCCCCTTAATTAAAATCAAATTTTACATAATCTATCTATTGGTGTGCTCTGTAATAATGCTTTGAGATATTTAATCACCACCGCACCCACTACGGTCACTGTAACTTCATCTTTAAAAATTCCTCTCAATAGAATTCCTCCTATTTAACCCTTTTCAAAGTGTAAATATTTAATGCCTCTTTAAAACTGTTAAAAATATCAGAATTAAAATATAGTTGGTCGGTTTTCTAAGAACCACCAGAGTACTATGGTTATATGTAAGAAGTTCTCAGCTACACTTGTCAAATTAAAATTTTTTACAATACAAATAATAGGTAAATTGTATTTATAATTTCCTTATCCATACAATTTCTTTACAATAATTTTTTTATTGTTAAATCAAAATCAAATTAATAATAAAAAATAATAATAACCAAGATTATTAATTTAATTTTGATAACATTAAGAAAATAAAGGTTATAAATATAATCTCTCTGTACAAGAAAATTTATATTTGATGGGAACATACCTAATTAACCCATATTAAAATTTTGTTTCTTTTTGATTTTGTCTTTGATCGAAATCTTTTCTTAAATGGTCCATTTTTCTCAACCTAACGAAGGCCCAGTTCATTAATGTCAATCTTTTTGGGTTTCCAAGACTGGGCTATCTCCAGAATTATAACTTTAGACAAAGCCCGCCCTGGAGCCCAAACCAAGGATTCAGCCAACCTACTGTACACGGAAAAAAACAAATACATCGTTGGATTTTAATCTAACGGCCAAGATCATTTGGTAAATCCAAAGGCCAACAATTACTTGATGCGCTCGATTACACTGTGCATCCACACGGCGCATGATAAGATTGGCTCCCCTGTAAATGGTTATCGTTCTCCATGGGATGCGCTTTACTCCCTCCCTTCACAAGAAGCGTCCCCGCCACTTCCATCATCATTTCTTTTTCTTAGATTATTATTATTTGCAAAATTAAATTTTGCAGTTTGTTATTGACCGTTGAGCTAACTTTCCTGCACCCAACGATCTTACCTGGTATGTTTTATAAGCATTTTAATTTCTTCTTGAAATTTCAATCTGAAAAATTGAACCTTTTTTTTTTCAATTTTATTTTAACATCTGTGCTTGATTATTAGTTTGAATTTATTCACACTTTGTTTTTATTTGTGGATTTATTTATGCATTTATTTATTTTTTGGTTGTGTTTCTCTGTGTGTGGAATGTGGTCTGATTGAATGAGATTTTGCATAAATGGGTTTGAATCTGTAAGAGCTAAGTAAGAGTTCATTAATTTTGAGGAGAATGTAAATTTTGGGATAGTGCGTATTTTTTGGGGAGACCCACGTGAGACTCGTGAACATTGTAGAATAATGCATATGTGCTGGGAACTGGAAGTGAGAGACTTACTTTACAAAGCAAGTTAAATGAATGTGCATTGTTATGGTTATAATCGTGCTAAATTTGATCATTTTTAAGCTTTTCTGGCAGATTAGTGTAGGTTATTAGTATGAACTCTTCTTGACTTTGGCATTGAGAATTACACTGACATCTACTGAATGGAATGTATCTGTAATTGGATGTGTGAGATGGTTTTTTGTTTAAAAGTTTTGTTCGCCCCAAACAAAAAAACCATTCCCTAGCGAGAGTAGAGGTGAGGGCATAAATACTTGTATGCAACCTCATCTTTACATATTTGCAAATAGACATTTTCTCGGATTTGAATCCTTAACTTTTCAATCACAAAAAAAAAACTTTACCACTGCTCTAGACTCAACCTCCCCCTCCCACCAACAGAAAAAAAAAAAAAACCTTTTCTCCTGTTATCTGTGCTACAATGACTTTGCCCCATTGTCCATTAGATTATCTGCTTTATTTGATGAGCTACGATACGAAGGATGTAAGCATAGGCATCTCATCGAGTATTTAAGCAACCTAGTGCCCTATATTTGAAGTTAAATCAGCTTAATGATCGTGTATTACTTGTGTTAAACTTTAGAGAGGTGTATTAACCTTGTCAAGCTTATAATTTCCGTTTTCAAAGTTTATAGTCCTCTATGGTAGCTGGAAAGGAAGCGGTATTTTGTGGGAGGCGTGGGGCTTCTGTACCATGTTGTGCTTTCCAATTCCAGGGATGAATTAAATCTCAATGGAAAAGAAAAATGAAAAGCAAAACAAAATATTTGTTTGATCATTCTAGACTTTGTTTTGTCTCTTTTGGTCATCAAGTAATATGATACTTTATGTAATGCATGAAAAAGGGATTTCATGCTGTTAGAGTAGTTGTTAGAATAGTTCAATGTATATAGTCCCACATTTTGTGGGCTTATCCATTAGGTCTTTTAGTCTATTTAAATAGAGAACTCTTGTACATTGTAACATACATTTTTTTTTCAATATACAAATATTCTATTATTCAATCTTAAGTTGGTATCAGAGCTCTTTGCTCTGGGAACTTCCCCTAAAACCCTAAGCCCACTGCTTAGGTGTTCTCTCCTTCCTCTACACTGTGCGTCCCTCCAGCTTGTTTCTGCAACTGTTAGGATACTGTTCATCGGCGTATTGTTCACCGTTCGTACAGTCCGTACGGGTACTGTTCATCGTTCGTACTGTTCACGCAGGGCACTGTTGGTCGCCGGAGTTACTGTTCATCACTAGAAACATTGTTCCGGTATTTGTCTCCTCTATCCAGATCTGTTCTTCGTTCTTCGTGGGTCACTTGTTTGGCGCGTGTTCCTTTTTGTTCAGCTCTCCGGTTGATCCAATTTGCTTTGTTCTGCAAGTTTTTTATTGCATTCGTAATGGCAGAATCATCTCCTGCTTCTGATTCGTCTTCTGTTGTTTATTCCACTGCTCTTGTTTCGCGAACTGACTCTCGCGGGAACAGTGGACGAAGTCAAAGACCTCGTTGTAGTTATTGTCAGCAACTTGGTCATTATGAGGAGCGTTGTTACACGAAGTATCCTCACTTGCGACCTTATTATGCTGTGAATATAGTTCAGTCGGATACTCCTTTATCTGGTTTAGCTTCTCTTTCTCCTGCAAACTATGCAACACTCCAGACTCTTCTTAGGAAGGCTTCTCCTCAGTCTCAGCCTTTAGCTCCAGATACTGGTAATCCCGTTGCTTGTGTTTCTCATTTTACATCACTTGGCCCTTGGATATTTGACTCAGGTGCTACCAATAATCTTTGTGGTAATAAGGAACTATTTACGTCTCTTACTTATTCTGATCATTTACCTTCTGTTACCCTTGCTGATGAAACTAAAGCCCTAGTTTGTGGGATTGGACAAGCTCGTCCGACCTCTACCTTGATCTTGACATCTGTCTATTACATCCCTGACATCCCTTATAACTTAATTTATGTTAGTCAATTGGACCACTCCCTCACTTGCATCTTTACTTTCTCTAACCATTATGTTTCTGTGCAGGATCCGGGTACGGGGAAGACGATTGGAGTGGGTCGTGAGTCAAGGGGGCTTTATTATCTAGTTGTACCTCGTCCAACAGTGGCATGCTCTCTCACAGGATCTCCACAACTTATCCACAGTTGCCTTTGTCATCCAAGTCTTTTAAAATTGCAAAAGATGGTTCCTCTTTTATATGGTATTCAATCCTTAAGTTGTCTGTCATGTCAGCAAAGGAAGCACGCATGTTCCTCCTTTGCCAGTCGATTCAGTAAACGTGTTGATGCTCCTTTCTCTCTTATTCATTCAGATATTTGGAGTCCAAGCCGTACTTTGTCTGTTTTAGGTTTTCGATATTTTGTTATTTTTATTGATGATTATTCTCGTTGTACCTGAGTTTATTTAATGAAAAATCATTATGAGTTATTCTCTATTTATAAAAAGTTCTTTGCTGAGGTTCATATTCAATTTGGTGTTTCTATTCGTATTTTATGTAGTGATAATGTTAAGGAATATGTTTCTTTTGACTTTTCTAATTTCTTGGCTACACAAGGTAATTTACACCAGACCACTTGTCCTCATACTCCACAACAAAATGGGGTGGCCGAACTTAAAAACAGGCATCTCATTGAAACTGCCTCTACCCTTCTTATTCACATGAAGGTTCCTCTTCACTTCTGGGTGGATGCCGTACTCGCCTCTTGTTTTCTTATCAATCGCATGCCTTCCTCTGTGCTTAACAATGACATTCCCTATAATCTATTATTTCCAGATGCTTCTCTTTATCTACTATCTCCACATGTCTTTGGTTGTATTTGTTTTGTTCATGATTTCACTCCTGGTAAGGACAAGTTAACATCCAAAACCTTTAAGTGTATTTTTCTTGGTTATGCTCGTCATCAAAAGGGTTATCGTTGTTATTCTCCTGATCTTGAGCGTTATATTGTTTCCGCTGATGTCACTTTTCTTGATCAACAACTCTTTCATTCTAACCCATCTCAGTTGTCACAAGTTGATTAGGTTCTTCCTGTTCCCTTTTTGGACTTGTCTTTACCAGCTGCAGGTGACTCTCTTCCAGCGAGAAGTGCTTCCATCCCTGAGAATCGTCATTTTCTCACCTATCAGCGTCGTCAGAAAGTGCCTCCCACGGACTTGACCTTGGGTGACTCATCGCCTTCTCTTGTCATCTCTTCCCTTCCGGCTCTTATACCAGAGGCTTTTCCCATTGCCCAAAGAAAAGGTATACGTACTACTTGTAACCCTTATCCTCTTTATACCTTTTTAAGCTATAACCGTCTTTCTATTCCTCATTTCACTTTTTTTTTCTAGTCTTTTTTTTGTTTCTATTCCTAAGACCACAGGTGAAGCACTTTCCCATCCAGGGTGGCGCCAGACGATGCTCGATGAGATGACCGTTCTTCATTCCAATGGCACTTGTGATCTTGTTCCTTCTCCTCCGGGGAAGTCTATTGTTGGTTGCCGGTGGGTCTTTAATGTCAAGGTTGGGCTTGATGGCCATGTTGATCGTCTCAAGGCGCGCGTAGTCGCCAAAGGTTTTACTCAGATTTTTGGTTTTGACTATAGTGACACGTTTTTTCTTGTTGCTAAGAAGGCGTCTGTCTGCATGTTTCTTGCCCTCGATGCTGTTCATCACTGGCTACTCCTTCAATTAGACATTAAAAATGCTTTTTTTCATGGCGATTTACAAGAAGAGATTTACATGGAGCAACCATATGAGTTTGTTGCTCAGGGAGAGTCTGGGAAGGTATGCAGACTTCGTAAGTCCTTATATGGCCTCAAGCAGTCTCCTCTGGCATTGTTCAGCCGTTTCAGTTTTGTCGTTCAGGCTTTTGGCTTAATCTGCAGTAAGGTCGATCATTCTGTGTTTTATAGATTCACATCTCCTGACAAGTGCATCTATCTATTATTCTATGTTGATGACATTATTCTCACTGAAAGTGATCAAGCTGGGATTTCACCAGTTAAAACAGTATTTGTTCAGTCAATTTCAAACGAAGGATCTTGGTAAGCTCCGTTACTTCTTAGAAATCGAAGTAGCACAGTCTAGACAGAGAATTTCTATCTGTCAAAGGAAATATGCCTTGGATATCTTAGAGGAGACTGATATGTTGGGGTGTAAGCCGGTTCATACACCCATGGATCATACTATCAATTTACTACCCGGACAGGGATAGCCATTATCTGATCCTGGACGTTATTAGAGGTTGATTGAGAAGCTTAATTATCTCACTGTGACTAGGCCGGATATTTCTTTTGCTGTTAGTGTAGCTAGTCAGTTCCTTGACTCTCCTTGTGATTCCCATTGGGATGCTACTGTGAGAATTCTCCGGTACATCAAAAGAGCACCAGGGAAAGGCTTATTATATTCTGATAAGGAAAATACAGAAATTTGTGGTTATTTAGATGCTGATTGGGCAGGATCAACCATAGGCGCTCTACTTCAGGCTATTGTGTCTTCTTTGGAGGAAATCTGATTTCTTGGAAAAGTAAGAAACAAATTGTTGTTGCCTGCTCTAGTGCAGAAGCTGAGTATCGTGCAATGGGAGTTGCTACCTGCGAGCTAATCTGGTTAAAACAGTTAATTTGGGAGCTCCATCTTTGTGAACAGAAACAACCCATGACACTCATTTGTGACAATTAAGCTGCACTACATATATCATCTAATCCTGTATTTCATGAGAGAACCAAACATATAGAGATCGATTGTCATTTCATTCGAGAAAAAATTCAGTCAGGAGAAATCAAAACGACATTTGTCAACTCCAATGATCAACTCGCGGATGTCTTCACTAAAGCTCTTAGAGGTCCTCGGGTTGAATACATTTGTGGCAAGCTAGGTGCTTACAATATATACGCAACAACTTGAGGGGGAGTGTTAGAGTAGTTGTTAGAATAGTTCAGTATATATAGTCCCACGTCTTGTGGGTTTAGCCCATTAGGTCTTTTAGTCTTTTTAAATAAAGAGCTCTTGTACATTGTAACATACGTTTTTATTCAATATACATATATTCTATTATTCAATCATAAGTCATGCAATGTATTTTATGTCTTTTATATTGCTTCCTTGTGCAGTGAAAGGGGTTTCAAGCGGCTTCATATTCTGATATTATATTTAAGCTGATATCTTTCTCATTTGCTTCTCTTACTAGTTTGAACATCTGCAAACCAATTCTGCTATTATTACTGACGGCATAATGTCAGAAGGAAACAATCTGGTTCTGGAATCATCTGAAAATGGAACAGATTTGTCTCAGGATGACATTGGCACCATTGAGGAAACACCAGAGGAAACAATTTTGTCAAGACAAACTTCTGTCAACCTTGTTCCTTTTATTGGTCAAAGATTTGTTTCCCAAGAAGCTGCTTATGAATTTTATTGCAGTTTTGCTAGACAATGTGGCTTTTCTATTAGACGACATCGCACTAGAGGCAAAGATGGAGTTGGCCGGGGAGTTACGAGGAGGGATTTTACTTGCCATCGTGGCGGATATCCCCAGATTAAACCTTCTGATGATGGGAAGGTGCAAAGGAACCGCAAATCGTCTCGCTGTGGTTGCCAAGCATACTTGCGTATTGTGAAAAGGGCAGACTTTGATGTCCCTGAATGGCGTGTTACTGGTTTTAGGAACATCCACAATCATGAGTTGTTAAAATCCAATGAGGTGCGTCTTCTTCCAGCATATTGTCCAATATCCCCTGATGACAAGAGTCGTATATGCATGTTTGCTAAAGCTGGAATGTCAGTTAGGCAAATGTTAAGATTGATGGAGCTAGAGAAAGGCATCAAACTTGGCTGTCTTCCTTTTACAGAGGTTGATGTGAGAAACTTGTTGCAGTCTTTCAGAAACGTGGATAGAGATAATGATGCTATTGATCTGATCGCAATGTGCAAGAGATTAAAAGATGAAAATCATAACTTCAAATATGAATTCAAGATAGATAGTAATAACAGACTTGAGCATATTGCATGGTCCTATGGCTCATCTGTTCAATCATATGAGGCATTTGGAGATGCTGTGGTTTTTGATACAACCTACCGAGTAGATGCTTATGATATGCTATTGGGAATTTGGCTTGGAGTGGACAATAATGGAATGACTTGTTTCTTTACTTGTGCACTTCTACGGGATGAAAATATGCAGTCCTTTTCATGGGCTTTGAAGGTAAGAATCTTATGATATTGTAACTTAATCTTGTATTTGATTTCTTGATTGCCTGCTGTCTAGTGTAGGCTTAAATTGTTATGCCAAACCTACAATTGTGCTGGCTTAAATCTTTTTGCAACAAATTTCCTTTACATGATGTTGATGAAATCTGATTAATTTGAGTTTTTTTTATTAATTCTAAATTTCTAATTGACATTTATGCAGGCTTTCTTGGGCTTCATGAAAGGAAAGGCTCCGCAAACAATATTAACTGATCACAACATGTGGCTAAAAGATGCTATTGCTGTTGAAATGCCCGAAACTAAACATGCCTTTTGTATATGGCATATTCTTTCTAAGTTCTCTGACTGGTTTTCTTTACTTCTTGGATCACAATATGATCAGTGGAAAGTGGAGTTCCATCGGCTCTACAATTTGGAACTGGTGGAAGATTTTGAACAAGGCTGGAGGCAAATGGTTGATAAATATGGACTCCACGCAAATAAACATATTATTAGCCTATACTCATTAAGGACATTTTGGGCTTTACCATTCTTGAGGCGTTACTTCTTTGCAGGATTGACCAGCACTTGTCAGTCCGAGTCCATTAATGCTTTCATCCAACGGTTCTTGAGTGCCCAATCTCAACTAGAACGCTTTGTAGAGCAAGTCTGTGACATATAATTTGTTTCCTTTAATTTTCTTTATTGATATGCCATGCCATATCTAACCATCATTGTTTACAGGTGGCTGATATTGTTGATTATAATTACCGGGCCGGAGTTAAGCAAAAGATGCACCGGAAACTGCAGAAAGTGTGCCTCAAAACGGGTTCACCTATAGAATCCCATGCTGCCACTGTGCTTACTCCTTATGCCCTAAGTAAACTCCAGGATGAGCTAGTTTTGGCACCACAGTACGCATCCTTTATGGTTGATGAAGGTTGTTTCCAGGTCAGACACCACTCCCATGCAGAAGGAGGGTACAAAGTAATTTGGATTCCTTGTCAAGAACACATCAGCTGCGGCTGCCATCTGTTTGAGTTTTCCGGCATCTTATGCAGACATGTGCTACGTGTCATGTCAATTAATAACTGTTTTCACATACCTGATCAATATTTACCTGCCAGATGGCGAGGCGTCAGTTTATCTTCTGTTAACCAATTTCGGGTTACAACTAGCAGGGATCAGCCTGAAAGGATACAATTTTTGGAATCCATGGTTTCAACACTTCTAATGGAATCCATTGAAACAGAGGAACGCCTTGATGTTGCTAGTGAGCAAGTTTCCATGGTGCTATCACGTATCAAAACCCTTCCTAGGTCAGCACCTGGGGTAAATGACATTGCATATAGTTATGCATCAGATTCGTTGATCCTGCCAGAGGTAGAAGATACTGATGGAATGATTCATAGTTTTACAATTGCAAGTCCCCATGATTCTATCACTTTAGGAAAGCTGAAGGAGAGAAGGGCAAGAGATGGAGTTGATCTCACTAGGAAGCGTAGGCAGTTCTCAGCCCCATTGTGTGCTCAATATGGACATGATGCATCTGATTGCTCAATAATGGCGGGTGATAATATGAGCGGAGATGCGTTAGGCTATTTGTAGAGTGAGTGGAAGTAGTTTTGATGTACAAAGTAAATGCAATTTTTCTCGGGGGTACATAAAAATGCATTAATGTTTATTGTTTTTTTTCTTCACTTGTTTCCTCCTATTCAATGAAAACTGGATTGAAGTACTAGGGGGCTATACAAAATCTTTACCGTATATCTGGTACGCTTGAATCAATTTCTATGAAATTAGAAAACAGGGGAATACAAAGGCTGTGAACGGAATGATCATTTTTGTAATTCTGTTCCAAGGTCCCGTGCACTAAGAGAGTGGAATCTATTTTATTCCTTTTTTTTAACGGAAATGCACTTCAATGCGTTAGTCTGCGAGTCTGTCTAATGCATGAATAAAAATATGGATGTATAAAAATATATACAAACAAAACAAATTTAATTCATTTAAGGGTTCTATTAATTTCATGTTGCCGGAAATAAGTTATCTCTAGCTGACAAATGCTTTTCATGATACTGTTTCGTATTTTGTAAAGCATGTGATTGCAGCAGATAAGTTCTTTTTCCTGCCGCTGAAGAGAAATATTTTCCTTCATTTAATTCACCCCTCTTTAATTACCATTTGACCATTTCTACCTTTTCATAAAAAAAAGTCCTTTTCCACCTCTTTAGAAAGGAACGATTATTTCCATTTTTATGGGAAAATGTGTGAAATAGAATGGACATTCCATGAATTTTTTTATGCCGAACAAATACTGGGGTGGCGTGTCTCATTGCTTGAGGGGGTCTTGACCTCTCATTTTGTTTAAAAAATAAATAAATTGTTGAGCTCTGTCCTGCAAATGAATGGTCATACTTATAGAACAGTAGTAATGAAATAATTATTCATCCAGCCAGTATTTGAGCAGTATTTGTAATATATTATAAGCTATTTCGTAAAATTTGCTGATAGTTTGTACATATCCTAGGGTGTCACTGCCACCCTATTTGCTTGCAATTGAATCCTGATAACTGCTACAGACATATCTAAAACTTTCTATATTTACATTTCATGTTATCATAAGCTAGCATTTTATTACAATATGGAATTTTACATTTTAGGCACTGCCATACCTATGACTTATTCTGCAGAATCTTCTCCCAGAGAAACTTTACTTAGCCTGCTTGGCAATGATTTGGCACTGTTACTAGCCATTTTTCTTTTCCCATTTTTGCGTAGATGAGACCTCAAGAGAGCTCTCCTTGCTAGTTCTTTCCCCAAATTGGACTTGGTTGTACCATTTGTGGCAGCAATTTCTTCTGAAGAGATTCCTTGGTTGCTGCTGCTGCTGGTGGTGGCATCAAGTTCCCTAGAAGAGGCCTTTTCTGAAGCCATGCTTTTGAACATGCAGAACCAAGGTGTTCAACAAGCTAGGACAGTGAGATGAATATTGAAGAATGGTGATTAAAGCATGGTATTGGGAGTCAGATTTTAAGGTGGTCTTCAGAGACACTTTCCACTCATCATGCATCCCACGTAAGAGAATATATGTTTGATGGCAGCAAGGTTAATGGGGTGCAAAAGGAATCACTTGTAAAAGTTCATGACTCGTGGAATAAACAAGTTTATGCTGTCTTGTATATGAAGAAACTGAGTTCAATAGTTAAACGTGGCATTGGTTATTTGATATTTTACAAAGCAAGCCTCTTTGTGTTGAGAACTACCAAACTATGTTTGTGATTTTTATTGGTTAATAACAATAAAATAACATAGATTTAGATTTTTAAAGTTTTTGGACTCAATATTACTCCAACTCACTAAAAAACCCACCCACAATAAGAGGTCAACGTGACCACTTATTAGTGGTAATCATACTTGCCTATAAATAGCGGCTAATATTTCACTCCCATGTTAGACATACTCTACATATTCTACTTTCCTAAGTTGCCTTGAAATGGACTTTCACTTATTACCTGATTTTCACCAGCATCCATCTCATTCACCTTGAAACGTAACAGTAACTTTTTGGTAGGTATAAAAAGAAAGTTCTATTAATCTCATATTGCAGCAGAGAAGTTATCTGCAGCTGACACATACTTTTCAGGATACAGAACTGTATCTTGGAAAGTATGTGACTGATGCACGGAATAGTGTCTTTGTAGTGGCTGAAAAGACATATTTTTCTATAAAAAAATTTAGCTCTAACCATGTTCCTAGTAGAAATATTTTCATGAGAAAAAAAACACATTGAAAGTACAGTATGATCACAATAATTGCGTTTAATAATTTCAGTTAGATAATTTACTTCATTTTAAAAGGAAAGAGTAGTACAATATGAAACCAATGAGTGTGTAACCAGATCCTATTTGTTTGTTATTTTAGAGAAAGTGTCATGACACAGATTGCATTTTGCGATCAAAGATAAGGCAAGGAAATGACCAGTACTAAAATGTTGGGACAACTATGAAACGCATTTCGAAATGGAGAATAATTATTAGGTTGGATCTAACGGTTTAATTTAAAACAAATTACATATTTTAAAAAATAAATAAATTGTAGTTGGTTCGCTTAAAATCTTGTTTTAGATTAGTTGTAAGATTCGTAAAATAACTTTTGCTTTTAAAAAATGAATAAAATATTTTTAAAAAATATTGATTATTAAACTCGTAAAATATACTAATCAAGCGCAACATTCGAATAAAAAGATTGTATGAATACAATTTTATTTTTTTTTGAATTTAATGTTTCTGATTTTGTCGCAGAAAATATTTCTATCATATTCCAGAAGGTTTTTCATTTTTGCTTTCACTGCTGATGGAAAAATTTGCAGCAAAATATTTATACTAAGATACGGAGCCGGATCCTGAAATTAAAAAAAAAAAAAAATTCCAAGATATGAAACCGGATCCTAGTAAAAATAAATGTTGCTGCAAATTTTCTGATCTGCGGCAACACGATAGCTATTAAAGCCATTCTATAAAGATAAGTGAGTCCTATTAATATTTTATTTGTACAATAAAACTTACTTATTTTTATAAGTATGATGTAGAAATGTTTTCTCTGAAAAAAGAAATATATATTTTTTCCTTAGGATAAAAATCGTACGTGGCACCACCGTAGCTACCGACATCATGCTTTAATTTGTCAATTCACTTTTATGGTGTCTATTAGCGGCTATTTTGGTCCCTCTTCTTCATCTACATTTTCCACCTCAGAATAGCACTTTTTGGAGCTTTGTTGTTAAGCTCAGCACTTACCCTTAGAAGGCTTCAATCAAGAATATTAAGCTCTAGAGAAGAATAACAACCGTTCATCTCATAATGACTTGCCCCAAAACTGAAGCAGAGAATTCATTCGTTTTTCTAATATTTAACAAATCTGATTCTTTTCCTTATTCCCTGGCTTTCTCCTCTTCTTTGCCTAGAAAAAACTTGTTCATCAAGCATTTTCTACTTCAACATACGGGTCAACTTTATCTTCTCCTTTCCTTTCTACAAATAAAATATCATCATCAGAAATGGACATAATTAATCATATATCTCAAATTTAAGGTTGTTTTAATTTTTTTTTAAAGTAGCCATTAAAGGGGTCCCCTGACCCTCTTTGCCATAGGTTTAAGGGCAATTCAAGTTCAATCCCCACATGCATAAATATATATAACTTTTATTATATTTGCCTAAAAAACAAAACAAAAAAAACAACCTGAATTAACTGCAAGGCACGCTGCACTTTAGTGAAAGGGCCATAATGTACACATTTGCTGTGTCATGACTCATGACTAAGGAGCACTAGCTTTGTCTTTAATACTTGGTACATTTCAAAGATAAGCTTATGGTGCTAATTAACAATTGACCTTGTGGCTGTGGAAGTGCTAAGTATTAAATCCCACAAAGTGGGAATCTTTGGCCTTTAAGCAACCTTTGCTCCAAGCAATTCTGGAAGTGTTCCTTCTTTTTCCCAATTCTTCCCTTTGGTACTTAGAAAACTTCATTTCCTCTTATTTTGTTCTCCTGTAAGAATTATAACTCTCTTGAACTTAAACACACAAAAAGAAAAGAAAAGAAAAGAGAAAAAAAAAAAAATGCCAGAGAGAATAGCAGTCACACATGCAGACCTTGAACCAAGCCGAAGTAAAACAGATTTGAGTAGCAAAACAGGTGCCTTCCTTATGGTTCTTACAATCCTATTAGGCCTCTTTTGTTTCATCCTATGTCTCATAGCAGAAACCACACGTTCCCAGGTACAAGTTTCATATGTTTGCAAGTTAAAAAAAATCGACTAGTTTTAAAAATGAAATTGTAGTTAAGTTTAACATAATATGGTGCGGATGATATGGCAGGTGACATGGATGAACACAGATGGGAAAGAAAAGGGTGCCAATTCGGAATGTGTATATAGTGGTAGTGGGAAAGTGCCATTGTTATGTGCTGCTTCTGCTTTTGTTGGATTAGCAATTGCCATGGTCGTGGAGCATACCTATATGTTGTTAGCAGTGAGTAAATCATCACCTTCTTTACTTACCTGCGATCCTGATTCTCCTTCTATGAAGTCCCTAACATGGCAAGCTGGGTTTTTCTTCATTACAACTTGGTAAGGAAAATACAATCTATTTGACTTATTCTTCATTTATTACAGAAAACATAGTTCCTTGTTCATGTTTGCCTATAAATTTTACAGAGTTTTTCCAAATTAGAATTGAAAGTTTTTGCTATTGCTAATTCAACCAGAGATATGGTGTGAGATTCACCCTCAACAACAATGTTCAATGAGGCTGTGGACCAAATTCATTTAAGATTATAGAAAAATAACTGATAAAGTATAAGGGCCAATAGAAAGGGAGGGAGGAGAGGAGATCAATGATGAGAATTAATACATGCTGAATGCATGTTCCCATCATTGGATTGATTATTTGAAGTCTAATTTCATACATAAGTATCTTTTACCAGACAAACTTATATTATTATCAAAGGAGCATTAACTTTAAACTTAAACATTCTTAATTTATATTAACGTTCGCTTTTTCTGCAGTTACTGCAGATAACTTATTTGCAGTAAGCCCAATACGACGTCGTTTTGGGGCGGAAATCATGGTGTTTTTGTAATTTTAATTTATTTCAGGGTTATAATAGTCTTTATATTTATAAATTTTTAAGATTTCAATACCAAAACGACGTCGTTTTGGGAATAAATGCAGATAACTTATCTGAATTAACTGTAGAAATATAATCAAGTTCTGATTTATTAGGGAATCCTGCTTATATTAATTATCTGGAATAATATCAAAATGGTACTTCTGATTATGATACCTATCCCAAGGTTCTTAACATGGTATCAGAGCCTCGCCGCCCCTCACTTTCTCTTGTGGCGTTTCTTAGCTTAGGTAGGCTGGGCCTGTTGCATTGTCCATTCTTCAAGTCCAGTGGGCTCTCGTGTGAGGGGGCGTGTTGAGAAATATAGGTCTTGGGCACTCTCACCCTTTGAGCTAGCTTTTGGGGTGGTGTATCCGAAGGTTCTTAACAATATAGGTCTATGTGCTCGAATATTATAGCACAAATTTTTTTGTTTTCTTATGTATATATAAAAAAAAAATTCATCAGTTTCCATACTACTTCCCTTTTATATTGCTTCTAACTCAGTCCAAAATGCAGCCATAACAGTTTATGTAAAAATGAATAGGTAGAACTAAGCATGAATATATGATTAATTCACACCAAAAATATCTACTCCATTAGTGGAAACATGTGATTTAACATTTCCTGTATGATATTGTAGGATTTGTTTTGCAGTTGCGGAGGTTTTGTTGTTGGCAGCACTTAGTGTAGAGTCAGGCCATCTGAAGAATTGGTCTAAGCCTAGAACAGGTTGTTATACCATCAAAGAAGGCTTGTTCTCTGCAGCTGGGGTATTTGCTTTAACCACAGTATTCCTTGCTGCTGGCTTATACTTAACAGCTTTACGTGCACAAAGAATGTCAGAAGAACTTGCACATGTTAGAAGAGAGGTTCTTGAAACCTCTGCCTTTTATGCTTCTCCACCAAGATCACCGCAAAGACATATCACATCTGTTGCAAGGGAGAACCCCGCAACCAGAGAGAGTCAGAATGAGCATCTATTATCTGTATTTCCAACTCCTTTCAACAAAAGCTATAACTTTAGTATAAATTAAGGAAACTATATTTGAGCCTTTGGTTGAGGCAAATATAAAAGGCACATGGAAGGAAAGTGGAGTGAGGACAAAACTTTATTTACTGTTTTACACATCTACATAGGGTTAAAATTCGTTTGATTGTGTAAATAACTTAAAACAAATATGATTCGTTAGGTACCTTATATGGTATGATAACTTTGGCCTATTGGATGATGTAGAATGCCATGGTCAGTAATACAGAACTTACCAGAAAATAGGGTAACATTCAAACCTCCTTTAAGTGCTTCTTCTTTGATTATAAATTATAGTACACACTTTTGTCCATCTTTTGGTGGAAAGTTTCAATTATAATGCTCTCTCCAACGAATGCGTACACCATATTTAGATATGATATTGTTGAAATGGAAACTAGAGCTAATTTAAAACACACAAAAATACAAGTTAAAGTTGCTTTATCATTGTATTAAAAAAAAAAAAGTTGCTTTATCATCATAATTGTAATATCAGGGTGGTAAACCGTAAACTATTTTGGAACAATCAATATGAGCACCGAGTAGTGTTGAAAACTAGACCAATTCGTTCTCGACCGGCCAGAATAATCTTGTCCGGCTAGCCCAAATGACTTCCCAATTAAGTCACAATCACTTGGGAGCACATAGTTCCTTAATATTTGTGTCCCCATATATTTCTCACACAAGCATAACCTTTATACCTCAAAGGACATGCAACCTTATACTATAACAGGGGCTCATATAATAAAATGGTTATGACGTTACACTTCTCGTATGGAGAGAATCTCCTCTATCTTATAAATAAATGTCTCAACCTTTCTAAGCAAAATCATCTCTCAATTGTACAAGTTTGCTATTACTTTGTCAAAATCACCCCTTAACCATAACCAAGCGCAAACACCTTCCCCTTTCGAGATCATCTTCTGTAATCTGTAGTATATACATTTGCTATTCAACAAATGACACTTGGATAAAAAAAATATTTTTCTCTTCTTTCCATACAAACATGACAGTCATTCTTCATTTTTTATTGGATAGATGTACTGAGTGAATGGTAAAGCAGTAGTACCATAGATATTTCCTCCCCCTTCACCCTCAACTGAGCTGGCCAATATGGTGATTTTCAAAAGCTTTGATCCATACTACTACCTAGTGCCTACTCTATCATTATTAGATCAACATATTTTACCCTTAGGGGGCGTTTGGTTCAGGAAATTTTTTTGGAATAGTAGGGAAATGAGATAGATAGAGAATTGATTGGAAAGATAGATAAAGTGAGATAGGTAGAAAAATGTAAAAAAAAGTTATTTGGTAGGGAAAAACTTTACTAGGAAAATTAGGTAGCTTTATGAAATCAACAGTGCATTAAAAGCCAGATAACCGATTTTCCGAAAAATCCCACCTTCAAATTGGGATTCTAAACAGTGCGGATATCTATGTTTCTCATAAATCCAGACAAATTGGATAGATGGGTTTTTGGTGAAAATTGAAACAAACATGGTGTTTCTAAGAGCCATAATTGAGAAAGATAGATATCCGCTGAAAAGCTCCCAACCAAACACCATTTATGGAAAACAGGTCTTTATTCTCACTTCCTCACTAAATCACAATTCAATAAAAATTAATCAAAAAGTTAAAAAAAAAATCCAATAAACCAAAAAAAATTATAAAAATAATAATGAGATTGGATCGATTTCCAAATCCGAATTCGAAAACTGACACAATTCAAATCCAACCAAAATTTATATATATTTTAATATAAATTAATGTGAATTATAAATTATTGCTAATTTGCTAGTAACTTGCTTTGTCCTTACGATATGGATAGCCTTCCCACGATGCACTTCCGATATGGGATTGTGGTTTTAGTTTTGGTAGATAGAGTGTGGTGCTTAAAGTAGAAGGTTCATGCTTTCCAAATAAAAATAAAATAAAAAAAATAGAAGGTTCATTCCCTGACATCCCATTCTCTTCAATCAAGTAATAGGGCCTTGCCAAAAGAAAATTGCTTAAACTTGTTAAAATCAAGTGTATTGCACGATTTTTTTTTAAAAAAAAAAGATCCTTAAATAAAATATTAGAAGACACATATTAATTAAGAGAACATATGTTTTGAAAAAGACAATATGCTGGGTTAAATTAAAAGGAGTTGATATGACGCCATAAACATGGATTTAACTATTAATTTTATGACGCCATAATCACTAACTAATAAAATGGTGGATAATTCATCATGAGTAACATATCCAGAAAAAAGAAGATGAGTTTGAAATTAAAAGAAAACAAGTTAATAATTATATTTTTTTATATTGAATGACAATTATCATGCTTTATAAAATTAAATAAGTGTAAGAAAAAGTATAAAACGGGGTAAATTTATTAAGCATTTTGCAATTACATATTACACTTGAAATCAAATAGCTTAATCTCATAAACAAAAGAGTTATTTTTTAAAACCTCTACGACTACTCATTCTTTACCTCGTTTGAAAAACATGAATAAGCGGAATTAAAGTAATAGAGACATTGTTATCAAAAAAAAAAAAAAAGTAATAGAGACATCATCAGGTTTTCCGAACTCCCTCCTTTATGTTTACATACCCTATTACATAAAGACTTGATGATTAGTCTCTTCATGTATTAAAAAAAAAGTTATTAACGTTAAAAAAAACGATAAATCCGATATTTATTACATTGCAGACGATACTTTTTTTGTTTTATATTTATTTTTTCCCTCCATCTCTTCTTATTTTTTATTTGAATGCATTTACTGGCCAACCCAATTAATTTAAAATAAAAGTGATCTTCATATTGATATTACACTATAAATATTTGATGTTATCCATCAAACTTGAATGTTATAAACAATATCCCCATCAATATTATCATCAGAATACTGAAAAAAAAAAGGTAATAGTTAAAAAAGAAAAAGTGTTTGTATTTTAAATAACGTAAAGTTATGTCATTTTAAAAAAAAGATAGACACAGAATAATTTTTTTTTAAATTTTAAATTAAAAAAAACCATTCACTTTTTCTCTCCCATAATTTTCATTTTCTGTGTCTATCTCTATTTTAAAATGACATAACTTATATCATTTAAAACGATACACCGCCTTAAAAAAAATACAGCAGAGCTTCAAACAACATGCCTTTAATTAAATTAATATTATTATGTATAAAAGAAAATTGGATATTCTCGGAATACACAACATACCATTTCGGTGAAGATCGTTATGATTGAAGTGAGGGTCCATCTTACTTAGGAACCGTAACCCGTTTGCATCAAGTCGGTTCGATCCAGTTAAAAGAAAAAAATCTCCAACCGTCCAAATTATTGTTATTTAAATTTCGATTTATTACTACGATTATGATTTTATGTTTTTGTTCATCAAAATAATTTTACTAATATTTCAAATACTTTTACATTTTATGATATTTTTACATTAAGATTTTATGTTTTACAATTTTTTAAACTCTTTTCAATTTTACTTAAAATTTTATTTTAACGAGATTGGTTCAAACAACACACCGTTTCATAGACACATGACACCTTCGTAATTGAGGATCCACGGGTCATAACCATAACCCGAACCTGGCAACCGAGTTCAGATCCAAGATCCAAACCCACAACCACCACCACACGTAACAAGTAACAACCCCACACCGCTATTTAAATTTCATCCAAATATCAGTAACAATGCTCTTTCTCTCTGTATCGAAAATCTAGGGTTTTTCCATTTCCTGCGATCTTCAATTGGTGCTAGGGTTAGGTTTGTTGTTCGAAACGATGTCGCTCAGGCCCAATGCTAGGACAGAGGTTCGCCGCAACCGCTACAAGGTGGCCGTCGACGCCGACGAGGGTCGCCGGAGGAGGGAGGACAACATGGTCGAGATCCGCAAGAACAAGCGCGAAGAGAGTCTCCAGAAGAAGCGCCGTGAGGGACTCCAAGCTCAGCAGCAGTTCTCCACTCCTCTTCTGGCCTCCTCCATTGTCGAGAAAAAGGTATCGCCTCGCATCTCTCGTTTCTACGGTCGATCGTGATCTTAGGGTTTCGGATTTTGGGATTTTTATGTGATTGAATCTTTGTATCGATTGGGGTTTTGGATGTTAGGTATGTGATAGTTACAAAAACGTTTGTTGGTGTTTGTTTGTTGTTGCAGTTAGAGAGTCTTCCCGCGATGGTTTCTGGGGTCTGGTCTGATGATAATAGCCAGCAACTGGAAGCAACTACTCAATTTCGGAAGTTGCTTTCGATTGGTAACCGTGGAATCTTTTTTTTTTCTATGTTACTAATGAATCACTGTGTCGTATTGGTCTAGTTCCGTTTGTTGAAGTCGTTATATTTGTTCTGTTTCTTCTGTAGAGCGGAGCCCTCCGATTGAAGAAGTTATTCAATCCGGCGTTGTGCCTCGTTTTGTTGAGTTTCTTGTTAGGGAGGATTTCCCTCAACTTCAGGTTCGAAATCTTTTTTTGCGTTGAAACTTCTTTGCTTGTCTTTTCCTTTTGGATCCTTGTACAGTGTAGTGTAGATTAGTTGGAATTTATAGTGTTGATTAGTTATGTATGTGACCGGTTGTTTTGTTTAGTTTGAGGCTGCATGGGCTCTCACAAACATAGCTTCTGGAACTTCCGAGAACACTAAGGTGGTAATTGATCACGGGGCAGTCCCTATATTTGTCAAGCTACTCAGTTCACCTAGTGATGATGTTCGGGAGCAGGTATGTTGATTTATAGTAGAATGTGGTACTACTGGCATTTTCCCTTTTTTCTTTCTTTTTAATTTTGACTGAACTCGAAAACTCTGAAACTATAGGCTGTGTGGGCATTGGGTAACGTTGCTGGTGACTCCCCTAGGTGCCGTGATCTTGTTCTCAGCCATGGTGCCCTGATTCCACTGCTGGCCCAGTTGAATGAGCATGCAAAACTTTCCATGCTGAGAAATGCCACATGGACCTTGTCCAACTTTTGCAGGGGGAAGCCACAGCCTCCATTTGAACAGGTAATGGTCTTTTTTTCTTTATTGGTGAATTTAAAACAGACCTGTAAAAGAACCTCTTTTGGCATATTAATTCTATAATTTTGATGGACAGGTGAGGCCAGCACTTCCAGCTCTTGAGCGTTTGGTTTTTTCCAATGATGAAGAGGTCCTGACAGACGCATGCTGGGCACTATCATATCTTTCTGATGGAACAAATGACAAAATCCAAGCAGTTATTGAGGCAGGTGTATGTGCCAGACTGGTGCAGCTCCTATTGTGAGTATTAATTATACTATACCTAGTCAACCAAGATTGTGTTCTTTCAATTGTCAATTGTCTTTGTCCTAAATGTTTATGCATGTTTTTAAGGCACCCATCTCCTTCAGTGTTGATTCCTGCTCTTCGCACTGTGGGAAATATTGTGACCGGAGATGATATGCAGACTCAGGTAATGATTTGTAAACAGTTGTAATAATTACATACCACGTAATTATATTCCTATTCAATTTAAGTTTTGTTGAATAAAGTAATAGAAGTGTTTTGTGAGTAATTTTAGAAAAAAAATGTGTTAAATAACTTCTCCCCAAATTGTTGATAGGTTAATTTTGCATGTCTAATATGATTAAGTAGCAAAAACACTGATGCTATAGTGTGGGGGGTAATGGACCTCAATACAAACAAACTTTAGAAATAATTAATTTCATAACATTGTTTTGGTGGCTTCAATTTGCCTGTCTCTCTTATGGCTTTTAACACTTGCACTTGCCAGTGACGTCACTACTACTACTTATTACCAAGGGTCCAGTGTTTTCTTCACTCATGTCTTGTGCATGTTTCAGTAGTTTGAATTTCCTGATTTTGGTGGAACTATTTTCATTAGGCTATCATCAATCATGGTGCACTCCCGTGCCTTTTGAGCTTGTTGACACACAACCATAAAAAAAGCATAAAAAAGGAAGCCTGCTGGACTATATCAAACATTACAGCTGGAAACAGAGAACAGATACAGGTAAGCCATTGGATTCCCATTATTTGATAATGTTAAATAATGTGTTTAATCAAGTCTATTATGGGTTGTTATTTTTTTTCCTGTTTATGCTTTTCTTTTAGTCTGATGTTTTGATATCTGCGTGCATATTAAATTGAATTTCTCAATTGAGATATTGACCTTTCAAAGTTGATAGACTGTGTTCCAAGTTTTCATAACCACTTATTGAGTGTTCCTGTTGTTTTGGTACTGTAATATGGGGAATTAGATGTTGTTTATCATGTAGGTGTGGTGCAATAATAACTTAGGTTTATTTAGTTCTTAGGTTTGCACCAATTGGACAAGACATATTAGAGAATGATGATTGATTTACTCTCAACCCCAACCCAAGAATACCATTTTTCCTTTTGTAATTCATAGATGAAAAAAGTGTATAGCACGCTATAGCGGCACTCAACCGCTACAAAATGCACGCGATGCTACAGTTTACAGTGGCAGCTATAGCGGCCACAATTTGAAGTAGCATTTTGCAGCCGTAGCAGCGCAATTTCCACCCTACAAGGGAGGGAGATAGATTTTTTTATGTTAAGGGTATTATTGACTAATAAGTAATAATTTAATTTTAAGGGTAGAACGAACTTTTATCCTTTTTTCATTTCTGAACCCTATCTCCCTTACCATCTACTTCAAATCTCGATCTCCAATGGTGGCTCTGTTTCATCTCTCTTTTACATTCATTATCCGACTCTGATCTCTCTTTCTCGCCCATTTTCTGGCAAGCATAGGGCAGTGCAACATCTCTGACTGTGGCATAATCTTGATCTCTTACTGATTCTATTTCGATCTATGGCAGATTCCTTCAGTCTCTCTTTACTATGTTTGCGTGAAGAAGGAATGTTTCTATCTGTCTCTCTCACTCATTTTGTAGCAAGTCAAGCCCAATAGTCCGATGTGTATTATTTATATATATATTAATATTAATATGAAGTCTAGTGAATATACTGTGTTGTGCCAGTGATCCTTGGCATTGCAAGTACATCACTGAAGGGAATCTTTTGTCTTGCTGGAAGTCGGGCTTGGGCATTGACAGTTATATTCTGTTTGGGATCTTGAATGTGTTTTATTTGCATTGTATTGTAATGGAAAAAGATTTTCAGTTGGCCTATTCTTTGAAAAAGCTCTCTGAACTCTATACATTATATATATGTAGGGTGTTATTGAAGCTGGTCTGATTGCTCCCCTTGTCAATCTTCTTCAAAATGCCGAGTTTGACATTAAAAAAGAAGCGGCATGGGCAATCTCCAATGCTACATCTGGTGGTACGCATGACCAGATCAAGTATGTGAATTTTTATTTTTGTATTTTGACTAAGCCTTACTATGGTAACATTGAGAATTTATGTTATTGACTTATTGTATGTTATTTTAAGGTATTTGGTGAACCAGGGTTGCATTAAGCCTCTCTGTGATCTGCTTGTTTGTCCCGACCCAAGAATTGTCACCGTCTGCTTAGAAGGACTAGAGAATATTCTGAAGGTTGGGGAAGCCGAGAAGAGCTTGGGTAACACTGGAGATGTCAACTTATATGCTCAGATGATTGATGATGCTGAGGGATTGGAGAAAATTGAAAACCTGCAGAGTCATGACAACAATGAAATATATGAGAAGGCTGTTAAAATTCTTGAGACATACTGGTTGGAAGACGAAGATGAGACACTACCTTCAGTCGATGGTGCTCAACCTGGTTTTAATTTTGGAAGCAACGAGCTTCCGGTGGTCCCATCCGGTGGATTCAACTTCAGTTGAAGACCTTTTGTTGAGTGGGTAAATATGCCTTGTCTCAATTTTTCCATCCTTTAGGGTCATAATCATAGTTTTGATCAAATTTTTATATATAAATGTCTCTCTGTTCTCTTAACCAATTGGTTTCAATAATTGTAGGAACTTGGTTGGATGGAGCAGGGGTTGATGCTAGGGTGACTGTTGGAGTCGAGTCCGGGTCGGGTCGGGTCGGGGTGGGTGGGCTGAGGGGTTCGGTCCTTGCACTTCATGTTGTCTGGTTTCAGTCTGGTCTTGTGTCCGTGGTTAATGATGTGCAGGGGTGGGTCAGTTTAAAACTACCATGTCCAAATAAGAAGGGGTTGGTGGGTTCAACAGCTGCATAATGACATTGTCGGCAGTGTATGTTGTATTAGAAGTATATATGCTGGGGAGAAACATTGAGGAGGTTCTTTGTTTTAGGAGCAAGGACCCGTGTTATGTGGCAATGGGAGGGTTTTATTTAATGCGGCTGAGTCCTATTTTTTATTGAGTCGTAGTTCTATTGGTAATTCATACCGAGTCAGTATTCGATTTGAGTGAATAGAGTATTCAGAAACCAATTTTATGGTGTATTCCAATGAAAGAATTAGCGCTATTTTGTGCTTGCATATCTCCTTGGTTATTATGAAGCTTTTTATCAATAATTATTTATCAATAGTTTCCCTCGCCCCACAATTTACGTTGGTATCTGGAATGCGTTTTGGGCTTTAGCTGCGTCTTTCAATTTAACATGTTCAAACATGCATGATTCGGTATTAGAAGAAAAACTCATTTATTTTCAATTATTATTCACTTCCGAATTCTTGCTTTCCTTGCTCCTTGTTATCAGCAGCAATACCGCCTGTAAAGTTCTCTGACGAGGAGAGGCGCATTGTAACACAAATTCAATATTCGAATTGGATAAGGAATGTGTGTATCTAGTGTGACAAATTGTCGAAGTCTTTGTACTAGAAATTGTCGAAGTCTGTCCTGCTCTAGTTCCTGTGGTTTCTTGAAAGCAACTTTCGTCGGTTTTAAACTGAGCTTTAAAGGAAGAACGAAATAGTCAATAGATGTTTATGTTTATTTGTGCTGTTGAGAATTTTAATATTGGTATTATAAAAGAATGTGCAGATCTAAAGGATCTCAAGATTAACACTTTAGTTAATATAAATTGCTCAAAACCAGAGGCCTAAAACCCAGTAACATACAGAAGAAACTGAAATGTAAATAAACTTGTATCTGCCGCGGTGAGAATGCTTGGGAATCAGAATTGATGACATTAGAAGGGTCGATTGTGCAATTTGGGTTGGTCCCTTACTTTATCTGGTTCCCCATAGGTCAGAAAACATTCTTCGGAACCAGAAGGTTACTGGGAGCTTTCGCTTTCATTTCTTTTTGTTTATTTATCCTTTTCTTCGTCTTGAGCTCAACTTGTGGTGTGCTATTTGTATCGCATATTCTTTCACATGGTCGTGTTCTTCATCCCAAGCCATAGGGAATTATTGTTAAAAAATAAGGTTTTGTACTTTCTTCTTTAGAATAGGATATTGTGGCAACCAAATAATGTTACTACCAATGTTATTACCATATCTTAACCGTTGATTTCCGCCAATCAACGGTTATCATTTTTTAAATCAAACTCATTAATTAATTATTAATTTGCAATAAATGATAACCGTTGATTGGCGGAAATCAACGGTTAAGATGTGGTAATAACATTGGTACTAACATTATTTGGTTGTCAGAATATCCTATCTCTTCTTCTTTTGACATTTTAATATGTTGTTTTCTTCTCTGGAGACGCTAATTTCTGATTCTCCGATCCGAATGTTGGAAGTGTAATACCGTAGTGGTGGAAGCTTCCTTTAGATTCCCTCGCTTAACGAGCCACACTGTGAAGTGAGAACCAACCATTGGTCTTTGAACCTCACGCATTACAATCCTTTGCTCAATCGCCATAAACCCGCTAGCGTTTCAACAAGCAACTTTTGGGGTGCAATTTGTAGGGTGCACGGGTGAACTTCTCATTTATAAACATTGGATATGATGCAAGAGAAATTAATGGCAGAAATGATATACTTGTAACTTGTTGAGAAGGGTAAATCGGTGAAACTGTATTATTGTAAAATGATCCCTAAAAATAAATTATATCATGTGCACAACTATTTGGGATTGTATATATTATTATTTGGAAAAATTGTGTATCATCTTAAAGGATGTAAAATTATGTTATTTTAAGTGAGAGAAAGAGATAAATAAAGGAGGAGAAAGAGTGGACAAAATTTTTTTTAAAGGTGTGATCTCAATTCTCACCTCTTTGTGAGCGTGAAAAGACATAAGTTGTGTCATTTATAAAGACAAATATTTTTCCCTTATTATTTTGGGTCATGATGTATGACCACTACTTTGTATATGGCCTGTATCATTTGAGATGCTCATTAATTCATACATTATGTATGTATATTTTGTATGTCAGGAGCGCGCGCACACACAGAGGATCTTTTGAAATTTGACACCTCAGCTGAGAGTCTTTAGATCAAAAAAGATCAACGACTCTGATTTGTAGGCATATGACACCATTGTTCTTTTTGATATAATGACTCTCAAATGAGGTGTCAAATTTTAAATTTGACATTTGTGACAAAAGATCCTACCTCTCTCTCTATATATATATACATATATATATGTATTATTCAGTGCATTGTTGTCAAAAACTAGTGTAAAAACATAAAAACTTACGTTTTTACTAGTGTGGTGCGTGTTAAAACTCAAGTAAAAACTGTCATTGGTAAAAACGCCGCGTAAAAACGATAAAACTTACGTTTTTACCGTTTTTACCATTTTTACTTAAAACTAAAAATTTAATAAAAAAATAGATTTACAAAAAAATTTATAAAAAAAAACCTAATTTTTGTTTTCCCCAAATCATATTCACAGTATCTTAATATCTTTTTGTTTGGATATATGTTTTTTTTTATAATTATGTCTTATAAAGCTGCAATCCTATTATAAGTTATGCTAATCGTTTTGTGTTTTTGGATCATTGTGTGCATTGAAAGAAGTGGAATTATATCCTGATAAACGATTATCCAAAATTTGCAGAGTGTATAAAGAAGTTAGAGCAGATTGGTTATTCATTACTTGTTAATTATCACTGTTTATAATTTTGATACTTGGTTATGAAAAATAATTTTTCATTTTAGATAGATAAGTGGCTCAACACACATGTTCATTATATGATATTTTTTTACATGCATATATATAATTTTGTATCTTGACCTTAAGTGGTAGAAAGTAGAAACTTTACGTTTCGTGTCGTTTATACGTTTTACGTTTCTACCACCCCTTTTCGTTTCTACGTAGAAACTCGAGTTTGACAACATTGATTTAGTGAGATACATCTGTTAGTACATGTATATACTGTCAAGTTGATAAGATGTGAAATGGCACGTAGCTAGTACTTGAATGCTATGAAGCACCGACACTTCATAAACTTTAACGTGTCGTGTCCGACACTCTCAGACACTCCGACACTCCTCGACACTCCAACACGCATTATAGAAATTCAAAAAAAGATTCAAAAGTTAAGTTGCGTTGAGTTTTTTTTTTTTTTTTTGTAATCGTGCGTTGAGTTTTTAGTTCCAACTATTAGATTCGTTGGATTACGATTACCATTTTATTGAGTTTAATATAAATATTTGGAATATCTTATGTTTCTTTGCAAAATTTATGAATATTATAAGTTTAGATTCATTTTTTGTTAAATTATTGAATATTAAATATAATATATACTACATAAATTAAAAATATTATTTAATATCAAACAGTGTCCTAACGTGTCGAAATCTAACATTTTTTAGAATTAACGTGTCGGAGAGTCGTGTCGTATCGTGTCACGTGGCCCGTATCAAAATCGGTGCTACATAGCTTGAATGAATCCATGGATGGGTTCTTGGTCCACTGTATGGGCTATTTGTTATGTACATGTATACTAAACTTTTTTGATTGACAGAAATTGCATATAAGAGTGGGATTAAATCCTTAGATTGTCCAGTTTACAACGAAAATGTTTTCCGTGTGACTCTGTCGGTGTTGGTACGTGTTGTCATACCCTTATGGTATTTGATCGTTGTTTACATTCACAAATTAATAAGTAAGTCTGTTGTGCAGGTATAAGACTGTGCAGTCAGTAATTTTATGAAAAAAAGTTATTTGCAATGTGATGCATCAAGTAAAAGAGAAGAAAAAAGTTCATTATCAAAGTTACATAAGTTAACCGTGAAGCTTAAACGTAACTCTTCCGCTTAGGTATTTAATTTATAATTTATGCTACGCTTTAGTGCTCTTTGTATGTTGACTAATCGGCTCAAAACAGGGATGTTACACATTATTTTAAATATAATAATTTTTAAAATATATACATTTTTGCACATCTAAATCTTGCTTCTCTCTCTTATTTTTCTCAACAAATTAGCCTTTTGTTTCTCTTTCTTTCAATTATTAAATACAATCTAGCAGTAACAAAAAAATGTTACAACGATAAAAAAAAATTAAATAGGTAGACAATATAATCATTCTAGTAAATTATATATTATGTTTGCCAAAAAATTTACATGGATGAAACAACAGATCATGTAAATTTAAAATAAAAGAATAAAATCGCAAAATGCAACAAATTTTTTGAGATTATTAATAAAAGAGGGAGTGATGTTAAAAACCGACGAGTTTGTTCCATCAGCTAAGTTCGTTTACAGACCTTGAAATATAAAAATAAATGCATATACAAATTCCAATTGATTTAAAACTTGAAATTCATAAAATATAAACATTTTCAAAGGATTTAAAGTTCTTTTTTATGCATTATTATAAATGTAAATGATATTCTTATTCAATTTTAGATTAAAGTCTTTTTTTTGTGTGAGTGTGCGTGTAATCTATCATCACATCGCTTGATTGCAACACAAGAAATAAAATACAAAAAAGGAATGCGAAGAAAATCTTAAAATGGTGAGAAAAAAATTCACCAAAAAATTTCGACAAGAGATAATAATAATAATTATTATAATTATAATTGATACCCTAATTTTAGGGACCGGGTTCGGAACACGATGCAGCAACAGGGTACTTTGGATATGGATGTCAATTCATTTGGTTTGCAACATACGTACGACCCGATCGTCAGATTCAGCATCATTCGTCATTTAGTGACTATTTTTTTTCAAAAAGTTACTTTTTTTTTTAAGAAAAAAAGCACTTCTCTTTTTAGTTCGTTTGAACATCTGCTTTAAAAAAAAAATAAGTCACAAAAAAGTCAAAAATCTACTTTTTTTTCAAAAGCTAAAAATTTTAATTTCTAAAAAAAATAAAATTCAAAAATCAATTTTTTTTTCAAAAACAAAATATTTTTATAAAAATATAAATAGCTTTAACTTTTGTAAAAAATTATTTTTAAAATAAGAAAATAATAAAAGTTACTTTTTTAAAAAACCGAAACAAACGACCTCTTATTCCTAATACTAGTGACTAACGTGCCTTCCAGCTAATCGCTTCAAACACGTGTTTCTAGTTCTTTTGTTCTACTTAGGGGACGTTTTGTACGTTGCATTTTTTTGGATTCTTGAAAACTGAATTTTTTTAAAATTT